ATGAAGATCGTAAGGACTGTAGAACTTCCTTTCCTGTCCTCATTCTCATGCACTATGAACACAAAATATGCAGACAACAGTGGGAATCTCTGAAAGAGTCAATACAGCTAATTATTTAATGGTATGTCACGTTGAGACAGTATAGGGACAGGACTCAGGCCTCACTTTGACTAAGGGAGACAACATGGGGCAACATGACCCACCCTAATTAATCGAAAAAGAATAAAAACAAAGAAATCCTAGCTGCCAGAATTCAGCCCATACGCACATAAGGAAGGGACCAAACCATCTGTCTTGTGAGTAATGTTTTTCAAGGACACTGAAGTAAGATATTGACACAAGATGATATGGCATCTGGCTGCAGAGGAACCAGACCTATCCGGATCCAACCACCTCAAGCCAGAAGAGACCCCCCCACCCTCTGAACTTACACTGACTTTTCCCTCATTATAATCTCATTGTAATGCTAAAAATCACGCCCAGGGGTGGAGATTTAATATACTAATGAGACAGGTGATGCATGAAGAAGCTTATAATAGAACTACCCGGGCAAATTAAAATCTCCACCTCTATATGCATACATGTCACCCTTTTCCCACCTAAGGCCTCTTTTAAAACTCTTCCAGAATGCCCAGTCCCTCGAGGAGCCAGCAGGACAACTCTTCCTCCTGTGCTGCCTCCTTTGTGCTGGAGCATAAAGCCCAAGAAAGCCTTGCCTGTGATTCCCACTTGGTCTCTCGTTAATTTGTATTACATAGCCAGGCGAAGGCCCTGCGCCGGTAACAGTGTTATAATTTATATCTGCAATCCCCGGGCTGTGGCCAGTACCCCTCAGTGGCCTGTTAGGAATGGGGCAGCACATCCCCGCCAGAGCTCCGCTTCCCTCGCCCCCCTCACCCAGTTGCGGAAAAGTTGTCTTCCATGAAACTTAGAAACCAGGCTGCAGAGCAGGAGCGAGCAGCAGGCTTACAGCCGCTCCCCATCACTCGCATCACCGCCTGAGCTCCACCACCCCGCGCGACACCCCCTCAGCCCCTTCCTCCAGCCCCCTGGAAAAACTGTCTTCCATGAAACCGGTCCCTGGTGCCGAAAAGGTTGGGGACCACTGATTTCTATTACCCTTATTGATCTTGAGGTTGTATCCTTATATTTTGCAGCTTCACTTGGAGAATGCAGTTCTTATCTTATCAACAAAAGAAAGCCCTCTGTGGCCGTAGCTCCAACGTAATTCTAAGAACCTTCATTCAAGCTTTAAACTGCAGCAATATTTCACCTGCTGGTAGTTCCTCTGCTCCGTTTCCTAAACTTGAAATCCCACCCTTCCTTTTCGATCCCTGCAAAAATTCCTAACTTTTCAACACAATTTAGGCATGATCTCCTTCAGGAAAGCCTTCCGAAGCCTCGGGATATGGTTCTGGAGCACCGGGTTCATATCCTTGTCATAGCACTCAGGACTGTATAGTATTTATCTATTCACGGCTTATCTTCCCCATTAAGCTGATTTCTTGAAGGCAAATTCAATAACTTGCATATAGTTGAATCTCCCTGAGTTCTACAGTACCAGGCAAGTTGTGGGGCTCAATAAATGTTTGATAAACTAAACTGAAGAGTGAGGCGGGAGGACGGATGAATGGGTCTGAAAAAGGATTTCAGAGTATGAAATCTCGCAGGGTGCGGGGACCTCAGTGGCTTAACAGAGCTGCAGGTGGGGAGATCCGCCACAGAGGTGAGTCATGGGATGGCAATGAGGTCACAGAACTATGAGGTCAAGGTGAAGTCATTAACACGTGCAGACAAAACCGGCAAGGGGTAGAGGGTCTCCCGGATCTGGTACCAGGGTGTGGGTGGAGGGGCGGGTGTCTGGCGCGAGGCCCCACTTTCGAGTCGTCTTACCGCAGGAACCAGAGACCGCGGAAGGGGCCGGGAACCGTTAGGGAGACAAGGCAGTGCTTGGCAGCTGGGATCCGAAAGCCCACAATCACCCCCTAGGGCCACAGGGCCAAGGGGCCAGACTGCCTCTTCACAGCGTCAACTGCCAGGGCACTTTCCCTTCCGCGCCATTTCGCTCTGGAGAGCTCTTTCCCACAGACTCCGCACAGTCCGGGCCGAAGGGGCAGCCGCCGCCCTCCAGGGAGCCACCACCCTAGGAGCTCTCGCTTCCCTGGACGTCATGTGACTCGGTGAGGTGACTCGTATTCCTTCTGAAACAAGGCTACAGACGATGAAACCAGAGAATCTTATCTCAGTCTGACCAAGACCGGTCTTAGCGTCCAGCTCTCCCCCAACATTCCTCCCGTGACGAAGAGATCCACTTCACCCTCCCCGGGAAGGCGCGGCCGGAAGGGGCGGGCCTTCTGCCCGAACTGGGCTTCCGCTACCATGGCTTCTCGAGGGGTCGTGGGCATTTTCTTCCTCTCTGCTCTCCCCCTCTTGTGTCTGGAGCTCCGGCGTGGGATCCCAGATATAGGTAAGTGCAGCGTTTCTTTCTCCTTGACACTCATAGCTGGGTAATTTTCACAGGAACCTTGCGTAGAGTTACCGCCTCCCTGGCGGCGTCGCCTCTGAGCGGCTTTACTACAACTCCCAGACTGCATCGCGCCCGCCTCCCACTCCCAGGGCCGGCTCTACTTCGCGGAAGAAACCTCCGCCCCGCCCCCAGGTCGGAAGAAGTTTTGCGTGCGAAGGCACGGAGGCAGAAAGCACTGGGAAAATCATAGTGCTTTCACGTCGTGATGAGCGCTCAAAAGGAAGCAGGCGGATAGGATGAAGGTTTTTTTTTTGAAGAATTTAGACTGAGATTTAAATGATAAGGAGTCAAACTCGTGAAACGCCGGTGGAGGGGAGGGCGACGGACCGGTGCAGGGGGAGCGAGGAAGATACTAGGCAAAGGGATTGTGACATGTTAGAGGAAAAGGATGAAGGCTGTTGATGCTGGATCAAGGAGAATCTAACTCCCTCAAGGAGTCAGATGCCCTGAGATGTTACTTCAAATAAGAAATAAAAAAAAATGCTTTTAAAAAAGACTCTCCAGAAGCTTTCTACCCACTTAGGCTATATTGGAACATAACAAGACCATTCATTATCCAAATGATTAGGAATGTTGAATTCACACTCACCTTTTCCAGAATTCACCTGTTCCCTTCCTTTTACAGATCCACCCCTACTGTGTTCATTATATTCTGCACTAATATTTGAGTCACTAGTCAAAGAGAAGGTCTTTACTGAGGGTTGCAGAAGGAGATTTGCTCCCACGATCAGCTCTGATTACAAAGAAATACACTCCTCGAGGGCAAGAGACCACTTCAAATTTGATTTTGTATTCCCAGCTCTTTTCACAATGTCTAATAAAACTAGGCCAAGAGTTCTAGAAAGTACCAGTATCCAGATAGTAAATTACTTTTGTGATGACCAGGGATACCCTAGATTTAATCGTGTGTTGTATTGAACAACACCGGAATCAAAAGCTAATGCTGTCAAGTTGGATGACAAAAAAAATCATATTTCTTCTCTAAATAACTTTAAACTGCTGAGTTTTTAAAATTTTATTTTACATAATATATGTGTTTTGTGTTAGTATATAAGTTTTTATAATTTCTTCTTTAAGCTTTAGTTAATTGACTAATTACCCCCTGATCACATTGGTAAGATGGTTCCTCTACACTTGTGCCATGTAACTTTTGAAAATGAAAAAACGAAACCAGACTAAAAACTCCTGGAGGATAGAAACTATTTTAAACCCAACATTATATCTCCCTTCCTCAACATTTAGCAAATTGTATTGGACAAAGTAGGTACTTGTTAGATTTCTGCTGATTTAATTTTCACTTTGGTTCTTAAAATAATCTAAGCCCAATTCTTGATTTTTTTTTTTTTTCTTGGGCGGCCCCTTGATTGGCATTTTTTTTTTTAAATGACTAAATAAGTATTGAGAAATAGAGAAGCACACAGCTGCACAATTTTGAGACAGAGTCTCACCCTCTCGCCCCTGGTACAGTGTGCAGTGGTATCATCATAGCTCACTGCAACCTCAAGCTCCTGAGCTCAAGCAGTCCTTCTGCCTCAGCCTCCTGAGTAGCACATGCTACCATGCCCGGCTAATTTTTCTGTTTTTAGTAGAGAT